TAACCCAATTTTACTACAGTTGTTTTATCAGACCTAGACAGACAGAAATTCTTTAATAATTCTGTGCTACCTTTTTATGTGCAGCCTTACCTGAGTGTCACTCTGAATCCCACACCGGTCTTCAGTATTAGAGGTCGTTGTGGTGAATTCTGCATGACGGGCTGTGTCTCAACCACAAGAGCACTGCAGTGCAAGATCACAACAAAACAAGTCAACACCAGGATGGTTTGCAAATCAGTGTATGTGCTACGTCTAACACAAAGTCTTAATGCCATGTATTACTTTGTGAGAAGCTTCGTCAACAAGGGCAGTGCAAACTCCTCGATTTTCATGATTGTAGGAGCAAGGCTGTGAGCATTGGTGCAGTTGTATTTGTTGTTCTGGTCCTGCAGCTTCTGCAGCTGTTCTCGTATTCCTACGATCACTTCAGCAACAGTCGTAAACCTGCACATAGAACACAAGTACACACAGGCACAAGTATTGTAGTGTGTACAAGTATTCAGCTGAGACTGAAATACACATTTTCTTCAGAGCTAAGGTAGCAAAGTGTTACCACTTCTGGAGGTGGTCCAAACAGGTGTCAAGTGGACTTCCAATGCAGGCCATCTGCTGTCTGTGCTTCCATTTAGGCAGCTCCACATCCGTGAGCGTCGCCACAACCTCGGATGCCTGGGTTAAAATGCTACTTAAATGCTGCAGCACAATCTGCCAAACAAAAAAAAAAAAAAAAAAAAAAACAGATCAACTATGTGGAGAGAAGATTTTACTGAATTGAGAAAGGGAAATTGTCTCAGCTTTTAAAGAGGACTGATGTTTTGGGGGTTTTTTCCAGCTTGCACTGTGAAGATGCAAACCCAAACACACATTTATATTACCTGCTGCGTGTGTGTGATTATATCTGCCCGCTGAAGACAGTCCTCTTTCACAGCAGCACAGGACTGGGCCAGTTCATTATGCTGACGAACTGGTAACGACAAAGTCAAACACAAATGAAGTTTGGTCTCAACCAAAGTCTACCACATGTTTGCGCTCGTCTGCTGACATACCTCTACTTTGCCAGGTCTTCTGTATCAGGTCCAGCTTTTCATTTAGATCCTCCAGTGTCTTAATTTCCTTCTTTAACTCCTGCATTAGAGTCAACAGTTATACATTCAGAAACAATGAGCTGTGTTTTTATTTTTCAGGATGGCTATGAAGTGAGTTTACCAGAAACTGCTGTTTCAGGCCACTGACTTTGGTGTCCAACTCTCTAGAGGTTTGTTCCATGCCTGGATTGCTGCAACCCTAACAAAAACAAAGAGAAAAGAAAATGTATTCATTTTTAAATGACATTTTTCATTACAGACAGTAACATCACCCCTTGAAAAATGTGCATTCATTTCAGAATATCTTGAACAGTCTTTGTCTGAAATCACACACATTTTTGCAAGTGTGTTCAAACCTGATAAGACATGATATCCCAGCATGATGTGACAATGCTCCAGAAAACATCTTGTCACATTAGAACAGTTTGGCTTTTTCAGACTTCACGTGCAGAACTTGAAGACTGTTAAAGCTGCTGGTCCTTCCACTGTAAATTACAGTGTGCCGTCACCGGTCACTGTTTGGGCCAGGGCAGATGGGCAGACACGAGCCAATCTCCCAGGATCCAATGGGACGTTCCAGCTGGTGATGGTGGTCTATTTAGTTTGGAGCAGCCCAGTTGGCGGAGTGGCTGTAGTCAGCACACCAGTGCGCTGTTCTCTTGGGAGAAGTTTATTTTGTGTTACGGCACTTTGTCAAAAAGCTGTTGTGGAACAGGGCGAGTTGAGAGGATTGTTATTATTTATTCCCATTTAGGAAGGTGCTGTTCTGTGTACTGTGATTTTGAACACTTTTGTTATTCTGTTGAAATTGGTTGTACTTTGTTT